ACCACTCACGATCTGGAGCCGTGGAGTAGAGCATGATGCAAGATGAAAGGTCTGAGTTGCTGTTAGGCCCTGAAGAACGAGCGGGAGATCTTGGCCGCGGCGCTGATGATTGGGAGTAGACGGAAGTCTTCGAGCTCTTCGGGTTCAGGCTGACAGGATACCACAAGGCGAAAGTCTTGCCGACAGCCTCGTCCCTGAATGTGTCCGGTCGATTCTGACCATGTACCTTCGACAATGATAACTGCCTTGCTTCTCTAGAGATCTTACCATGTCCGGTGGCCTTCTCGAATACAGCTTCCTGGCTTTCGGACTCATCTGAGGCAGCAAATTGGCGTAGGTCCGAACAGGTGCTGAGCGAGCAAAAGACAGAGTACGAAGCAACCGCAGCGACTGAAACAGTCGGAGCCATCGAGCTGCTCTTCGATGTTCCGCATCGAAATTGAGCGCTGACTTGGCTCCAATCATGCGAAGACCTGACGGCACTGCCTACGATCTGCGCCGACAGAGACCATTCTGCGGTAGAGTGCGAGAGACTTGATGTTCCATCAGGCGGTCAAGTACCAGCCAGGGTCTGAGCAGAGAAGGCTTGTGATGATGATGACCGGGAGCATGAGTGGACTCATGAGCTGTTCGAGGAAACAGTGGCTGCGGTAAGCGCTCGAGATCGCAGATAGCAATGTCCAATTCAAGTGCCCACTGTGAGAACGCTTGTATCATAGGCTGATGGTAACGAGATCCTGTAGATGGGTCAGCCGCAAGGGTAACAAATAGAATCGCGTATACTGACAGCGGTCTCCGTTGACAAGCTGATTTGGTTCAGCCAGGCGCAGAACGTTCTTCTCCAAATTCCAGCCATCGAGCCAGCGAGTGGTGAAAAGGAAAAGAGCATTCGCATCAGCCTGAGGTAGTGCAATACAAGCGACACAGTGCCAAAAGACATACGAGGCGCAGAGGTCTCCCGGCGAGTTCCAAAAAGAAGCGAGGAAGTCTGTCAAGTGTGGCCGCGCTTGCACAGAGCATCTCTGGCGGCATGCAGTCTTTGCCCACTCGACTGCAGCCTAATAGCATGTATGAAGAACAGATCGTGAAAGTCTCAAGTTAAGCCACTGGTGAGCGAGACAAGATCAACCCCGGGGCGTGGCCTGGAGGAGAAAGAAAGAAGACAGCAAAGCCGCGGCGCGGACGCGCTTTCATACATGCGGCGGCCAATGCAAACTGCAACAAACAGAGCAAAATTGCCAGTCACTTCGCTTCTTCAAGCACCAGTACAAGACCAGTAGACTCGATGAAAAGAATGTATTCGCGTCAGCTCGAGGTAGTGCAATACGAGCGACACTATGCCAGGAAATGTTCGATATAACCCTCGCACTGAAGCAAGAGCCAACTACTATTTCCTCCAGCTGTGTTCCAAAAAGCGATCAAAGATCCCAGACCGCGACCACGAGCAAGGTGCAATGATTCTACCATCTTGAGGCATTCCTACTCGTGCGTCGACTACCATGCTCCTTAAGGACTTGAGAAACCCCAAAGTCCCAGATCCCCCGACCACTGATGTGTGGGTGATGGCTCCCACTGGCACGTCAATGCCGAGCATGGCCACGGTAAGCCGCGTATGAGGAAAGAGAGGAAGTTCTGTGGACGCGACAGTCGCTTTTAAGACGCCTCGCGCATGTCACACCCGCCATACTAACCCTTTTCGGAAGGCAAACAAAAATCACGCGCAGAGATTGATCCGAAGGCAGAGCACAACTTGCCAGACGGCGTGAAAGAATGGAAGTATCGTATAAATTAGAGTCTATAGAAGATGAATGCATGTCCTTTCCCGGCTCCCTCCCTCGCCACTGATGCAGACGATTTTGAGTTCCCCGAAGAGAGTTGTCAATCTAGCAGCAGTACCATAAGACATTTGATATAGAGAAATCAATGCCTTCGTTTTCTGCTGCGGACGAACTTGGTGGCCGACCCCATGAGCCAGCTTGATGAGAGAAGGAAGAGAAGGGTGGGCGCGGAGAGCAGTATTTATAGCATGTCCAGTGCGGTGATCTTGCGGCGCCCGTCTCCGGTGATCTTCCGCGCTCGACGTGCCATGATCTTGCAAGATCACCACCACCCGATTAGGCAATCGGATGAAGAATCAACGATCGTTGGTGATCTACGCAGCCATGTAGAAGGCTTATTATAGCTCCCCCTTATTGCTAAACATGTCACGTGAATTGGTTGCAATCTTTTAACATGTCCAACAACGACAATCTGTCAGGCAATTTCATCATGGAGGTTGACCTCAACGAAGCATGTATGTACTACTATTGCCATGGCTCATCGTAATCACATCTGACACCTGAAGTCGTGGCAAAGAAGGAAGCTGCTCGCTTACGTCGTCAGCGTAAGCCCAAGCCTGGCTCCCTCAACAAGTGGACTGCACAATCGTCGATACTCTTCACATTGCCGCTAGAGATTCGTAACGAAATCTACAGGCTGGTCTTCCTGTCATTCACGGACTACGAAGAAGGCGTGTTGTTTGTGTACCGGGATGATCAAAAGAAGTCAGAACACCCGGTGATCCAAGATGTCACCATCAGGCGAGTGAAAGACGATCGCCCTGCCCAGATCTTGCCGATCCTACAGACCTGCAAGCAGATTTACCATGAGGCCAGAGAAGTGTTCTGGTCATCTATGATCTTCTCAGTCTCACATCCCGACCAGCTCTTGAACTTCTGCGAAGCTAAGCAGTTGCCACACCGTCGGCACAAGAAGAGCTTGCCTAGGATGTTCCAGGTCCATCGTATCCGTCACTTAGAGATTCACATATACCACGACAAGGATGACGCGGCACATCTGCTCGAGGCTCTTTGGGCGCTTGCTAGAGTCAGCTGTAGTCTTGAGCCAGAGATCTTTGTCCAAAGGTGGTACGCCAATATTATTCCGGAGTTCGAGCCTGATGAGGCTGCCGTTCTTGCCATCTATCATCAAGTCAAGGACTGTCAGGCCTGGAGAAGACAACAAGAGCTCTCTTTGGATGTCGATCGCTTCAACTTCCGTTCATGGATCAAGTGGGACACCATCTTCGACTTTTACGCCAGAATGCCCAAAACTAAGGCTGAGGACGATGAGGTGTCCTTCGAGTAAGCTGCTGTCAATCGATTGTGAGTGCTGTCTGTACGTATTCTGTTGTCCAATATCCACTGACATACCTATCTCAGTCCCGGGCCCAGCCATATGAATCAGCATCATGTCGCTCAAGTTTGTTTTTCTGTTCTTGCTGGTGGAGTTTTCGGTTGGCTTGTGTAGCATTCCTGTTTTTCTTTGTCTTTCTTTCGTCTAAATTCGCTAGCCGAGTTTTTCTTCTATTTCCTTTGTCTTTCCTTTGTCTTTTCACCGAGGCGACCTCTTTCTGAGGACCATGCCTTGATGCATGAAGTTTTCCTAGTAGATACCACACTCCAAAGAAACACATCTTTTCCATTCTCGATTTGTTACATTCTGAGGGCTCTCACTGGTGCATACCATCTTTCGTGAAACATTTCTGCCTTTTGATAGCTCATTCGTGACTGCTCATCGAAGCCTGAGACTCAAATGTTCAGGATTAGATTCTCGAGCTCCAAGATGGGCGCCTCCGGCAGACCATACCTGTCAAAATGCACGGAAGTATTAACGTCCTCAGCTCACACCACAGAGATTATCGCCATCATAATTGATGTTGGGGCTTCCATTGGTGCGTACAGTGATGTGAGATACATTTCTGCCTTTTGATAGCTTGCTATGACACGTAGTCGCGCGTGGAGAAGCAGAGTGGGATGCAAGGACATCTCTCGCGCTAGAGAAACATACTGCTTGGTTGTTGAGTCATTCAACTAGCTCAAAACGCTACGTGCGAATGGATACGAGTCCGGTAGCGGCTGAAGGAAGCTGCAAAAGAATGTGCAGCCTTCTTGGAAGCATTGCATATGCCAAAGATCGAGGTCTTCCGATTTTCTATGGGTGGCTGTGCAGCGCAAATGCTTGCTCTCGATTACCGTGCCTTGGTTCGACGACTGATTCTGGTCAGCACCATGCCCAGCATTGGGAAAGGCATCACACCACCACCCGCCGGTCCTTTTGCTGCTTATAGGAAAGCAAAGATCCTCAAAGAGCACAGTGAGGCGTTCGTCGATCTTCCATCCTTGCGAGAAGAGTCGAAGGGCTGCTTGGGAGTCATGAGCCATAGTAATTGCGTCTCGGCCGAATCGTATTGTAGACGTCGGCGTGACAGCGACGAGAGAGCAGCTGACCGCATTCGCGAGGTTTATGAAGCCTGAGTTTGCTCATGAGGACTTTTTGACAGGTTGCATGAGCTCCAGATGCCTATGTTGCTTGTGGAAGGTAAGACTCTTCTCCTTCTCTGACGTTTGAAAGGTATTGGCGACTAATAGTAGGCTCAGGAAGCGATGATATTGCTGTGGACGGCGGCACTTGCAACACCGTGATCGACAAGATATCGTATGCTTACATAGAGCCTCATGTTTTCCCTGATTCTGGCCATGCTTGTCAGTTCCAGTATCCCGACGAGTTTTTCCGTCTGGCTGTCGACTTTTTCGATGGCCCAACCGTCACTGCAAGCAGCGAAGGGGAGGCTGAAAGGGCTAGGCTTTGATCATTCATGGCCTGGTTCTCAGACCAATAGCTTTTCATCTAGTCGTGACGGACATGATTGTGGTTGATGACTTGCGAGACGGTGTAACTTGATGTATTGAGACGAATCTATCGCTGTTTTCATAACCATTCTTCCCCTTTTCACCTTCTGACCTTGCGACAAGCAAGCCGAGGATCATACTCAACTGCTTCCAATGCTGTTAGAACGTGTTGGTCTGCCCACGATTGTCTGAAAGCCAAAGACCTGGTAAGCCATTTGCCCCTGAAGTTCGATCTCCAAGGCCCAATGCATCTTCCTTTCCTAACCTCTGTTTTTCGTCCTTCAATCTATAGTGCCCAGCAAGGCACTCGGGAGCTATGTCATGTCCCTGCTACAAATATTTGCCACACCCCTTGGTGTAAGCGTCTGTTGCAGTCTTCTTTGTCGTCTCTTGTACAAGCCCAACTCGACGGAACTGTATGGCGGGCATCATGAAGGGGCGACGCAATGTTGCTTTGGCATCCGGGTACCTGCGGGCCAATTCGTCCATCTCCTCTCTGTCCTGCAGGAGCCATGCCACACCCTCGCGTCTTCCAGTGCTCCTTTGCAGAATGAGCTTACGATGCTCCCACCAAGCCAGCTTGTATTCATCGACAGGAGTCGTAGCAGAGCAGTCTTCCGGACCTGAGGGAGCGATGAGGAGCTTCTTGCGGTTGACATAGACCTCATGCTCAGTGTGAGGGCGAAGGGTGTCTCCAGTCAGGTCGATGTCGTTGGTGTAGTGGATTTCGATCAAGAACTGGCGCATGACATGAAAGATGTGATCCCAGAGATAACCGAACTCATAGACCAGATTTTCACGGTCGCGGGGGCCGTCAAAGGTGACCCAACGTGTCCTGCCTCCTGAGTCGCTGAATATGACGTGCAGAAACGACTTGCGTAGCCACTCCTCAAATCCCTTCATCCACTTCAGGCATGCAGCTGCGGTGAGAATATCCTCGGGAAGAACCCTCAGGTTATCTCCAGTGATGACTTGACGGAGGGCACAGCTAAGGCGTGCCTCGCGGACCCCCACTGACGTCTGATTTCTTCGTGTGGATTGGCAAGGTCTTTTGCAGGGTATTCGAACATGGCCATAGAATCGGGGTCTTCGGTTTGAAGGGAATGGTATTGCTGATCGGGTTCAGGAAGCTCGAAGGAGCCCAAGTACTGGATGCTTCGGACAGGCATGGTGTCTGCCATCCATTGTTAGCGTCTGGAAGTCGCCATGTTGCAACTTGACAATCTTACCGAAGCCAGGTCAGGCAGAAGAGGAACCGGTGCTGGTGATGTGCTCCGATGGATGAGAATGGCCTCTTTGGCGTCTCTGTGGTCTGGACTACAAAGTTGGAAAGTCGCTGCCTTTAGGCGGTTGTGTAGATGCTCTTTGCACGCGTTGGAGCAAGTCGCGATCGAATAGAAATGGACGAGTCTTCCGATGTCTCTGCGGTCAAGATGACAGAGTGGAAAGGACGCTGCCTTTCGATAGATACCGAGACGCTTGTTGTGAGTGTCGGAGCAATTCGCGAGTGTATCTAACGAACTGTCAACAAGGGTGCTCATGGGGTATGAAGCAGAGTCACAAACCAACGCGTTTTCGCCCCTGACAAGGATGAGGTGTAGAAGCTCAAGGATAATGGCACGACGCTCTTTGTCAAGCGCTGGTGCTTGTATGTGTACTTGTCGCGTTATCGGATGGTGTGAGAACTAGCATTCGGGTCCCTCGAGATATTCCGTTCACTGCTGGTCGCCAGGGTCTTCGGTCTCACACCTCTCATCGCGTCTATCCAAGCACCACTTCTCTTCTTCGTCTTCCCATCACGCAACCATCATCCAAAGCCGGCATAACATCTTCTACACATCCAATATCACAACCCAGCAACAACATCAACATGTGCTTTGGCAGACGCTCCTCCTCAGTCTACACCTCTTCCTCCTCGTCGAGCGACGAGTTCCATGCTCGCCCCATAGAGCTCGACACCATCAGCCTTTCCGCCCGTGGCACCAGCCGTGCCACTGCTAGCATGCCTAGTCAAGCTCTGCGCACCGCCGATCGCGAGACCATCCGCGTGGTCGAGCCTGCTGGCGCTACCAATGCCAGTCAGCAGCGTATGTTCTGTCGTCTGCGCACTAGACGAGCTTTACTGACAATTGCACTCAGCAAAGAAGTAAATGGTGCTCAAGTCATAGCCTCTCTTCTCCCGTTTCGATCCCATCTTTGATTCTCGTGAGTGAGCCCAATCATCTATGCGTACTGAAGCAACGACTAACCTTTCGTGTCACAGTATTCATACGACAGCAAGCAGTACTCTTTCTATTATGAAGGGGTCTTTGAAGATGCACTCAGGGGTGGACCAAGAGGCAGAGGGGTAAAGAGCAATTCGCAAATGAAACTGCAAAACGTTGAAGGGCATCAGGAAGGAACTGTAAACTCGACAGCTTGATTGAAACATGCACCGCTACTCCCTCCCATACCACTGTTCCAATAATCTGAACTGTTCGTGAATGTGACGTCGTCATCTGGGGGATGTCGTCGCCAGAAGCAAAAGCTTTGACCCGTAGACTAGCTCCGAGCAGACCCTTCTTGTTTACCATTGCACGTGTTCCAACACAACCTCGCATAGACACAAACCACTTCTTGTCACGCAACACACATATCAGTAACCTTCTTTCCAACAACTAACTCTCTCTCTCTCTCTCGTCAGCAAGAATGTGTCTTCCTGTGTGCCGCCATGGTTGCTTCATTTCTGGTGTCTCCATCAACATCCTCCTGCTGGCCCTCACCATCTGGTGCGCGGAGTCTGGCAAACCCTTCGCCATATGGGTCTCCCCTTTTGATCGCTTTCTTGCTCGCGTTCGTTTTCGTTGTGACCATCAGTACGTTTCTCATGCAAAGTCTCCGTCCTCCACAAACATCGCTGACATGTCTGCGTAACAGCTTTCGGCCATCTGCGCTATGAGCCTGCTCGCCGAGGCAGCACCTCCTACATCGTTCCTCTCAACGACGAGGAGATTGAGCTCTATCACATTGGCTCATCACCACTGTCAACTGTCGACGAAGACCCCACCGAAGAGGAGATGTACCGCCGTCATCTTGCTGAGCGCCCTCTACCTCCTGAGCCTACTCGCCGCCGTCGTCGATCTGGCCGTGGCTCCCCCTTTCCTACCTTGATCTCTCCTTTGAGCGACCCTTTCATCGAGCAAGACACTCGTGTTCCCGCTCCCGCTCAGGGTGGCAGAAACACCATCCGTCTCGTCCCTGAGTCTTCTCGTAAGTCTGACCTCGTTGTATCTCAAGCGTGCACCTTACTGATGTGATATCAAGTCGCTTCGCGCACATGAGCTTGTTGCCCGTCAACCTCTCTGGCTGTCAGCATATTGAGGGGAGGCGTATTGGAGTGGTGGGAGTTTGATTGAAGCACTTCTTTCGGCGTTTGAGACATGATTGATGAATAATGACTACTGGCATAATAAGCAAGACGAGTAGCTCGAAAGGAGAAGTCTCTGAGCTTAGAAGGAGGATCGAGGAGTTTGGGTTTGGGGCGAACAACTAGCATTAGCAGCATTTCATTCTCGAAGAGCGTGACGCAGGACGGACATCTTCTTGAGAACAGACCAGACCTTGTGGTCGACTAATTCTAATGCAATTGAAACCACATTCTCATGTCATTTGCATTGTTCTAAGTACCTCCAACAGTCTTTGGACCAATTTGGGAGTAGTCGTGGAAAATCAGGGTCTCCTCGATTGGAGCGATGTTGTGTTGTTTTGGTTTTCCCGAGCAGCGACCACTTTGTCAACTCTTTCCACCACCACCACCTCAAACACACCACTACCCAACTCCTGCACACAATTTACAACTACAGTAATACTCAGAGTGCAACGTGCTAGTTATCATGTCCTTCGAGGACGCGTCCGCCTGCATGCGCTTGCCCTACTGCAAGAGGGTGCACTTGTTGTGTCTCTCTACCTTCCTCATCTCGACTCTCCTGGCCACTGCAGTGTGGGCAATCAACGTGTACCACGCCTCAAGGTTCTTCGTCCCTCTGATTGTGGCCATCATCTTGCTGTCTAAGGCTGAAGGTGCACTGGGTACGCACAACTCGCTTGCTTGCTGCAAGAGCGCGTACTAACCACAATCAGTTCTTGCTACTCTCCAAGCTATCTACAACAAGGCTACCGACCATGAGAGCCACGATATGCCTACTTACTTGGCTGATCCTGCCACTCCCAATCGTGCTGGACTGTTCGATCAAGCTCTCATCCATCCCGCCTTTCGCGACAGCAACCTTGGCTCTTCGATTACGTCTCGCAACTTTCCTTTACCAAGGGAGCGTTGCTTGGATGTTGTGCCTACCTGTGATGCCCCTGCTATCCCAGTTCCTCATCCCTACGTCGCTACTGGCATCCTCTCACGCACCTCGACTACCCACCGCCCTCTACNNCCCCCTCTCCCTGCCAATCACGACGACCTTGGAGCACCTCTCCCTCACGTCGGAGAGGTCGAAGATGTGACCATTCTGCCACTCCGCATCGAGAAGCGCGAGTCTGCTGTTGTTGGCACTGCTGTCAAGCAATCGACCAAAGACGTAGATGTCGAGTCTGGAAAGAAGTCTGGCCCAAAGCCCGGAGCCTTCGACAACACGCCTGTCCAGCCTACGTACATGAGCCAGGCCGAGCGGATCATCACCGGAATCGAGGCAGAACAGAATGTCCAAGAAGCCGCCCCATCGATCCAAAGCAGTTCCCTTGGGAGCCCCAACACCGAGCTTCAAACCCCTCAGACTCCTACTCACCTGATTACCCCTGCTATTGTAGTCCAGGAGCCCACTCCTACCACCCCCAAGTTCATTCAGTACCCCGCTCCGACTCTGGCTGGTATCTCGACGATTCGTCTGGTTAGTCCGTACCTGGAGCTCCCGTCAATGACTGGCCATGGCTCTCGGCGCAAAAGGTCAATCGGATAAGGGGACAAAAGCTAAAGTCAAGGGGAGCCTTACACTTGCCACAGCTATCCAGAGGCTGTCTGAGCTTGTTTGGGCACGAGAAGGATGATCTCGAAGCTACCCGACGAACAAAGACATGGCAGTTGTTGTTGTATGTTTGAACAAGGAGAAATGTTGGAGAAGAGAGAGGAGTCTATCGGTATGAAGTTTGATGGGTCCGAGGATAGAGGTCAGGTTGGACGAGCTGATATGACTTCACTGTCTCCAGCATCTGAGGAGGAAAGCTCCGACAAGCAGTACAGTAGGCACTAATGAGCTCTGCAGCTGTATGTACGATTGCGATGGTGACCAATAATAATGAAGGTTGTCAAGTCGTATGCCATGCACAAAGAAGTCACGAAAAACATAACGTCGTTTGAGAGAGTCCTGACAAAGAAGTAGCACACAAGTAATGGTAACCATACCGAGAAAGGAAGAACAAAGACCCTGACGAGTTGAGCATCCCAAATACTACTGGCTTTAGACTTGAAGAAGAAAGCATAAACATCTCTATGTGTCCAAGCTGGAGGTTTCGAATATACAAGACAGCGTCGCTCTTATCATGACCCTGGCGGCATGTTCATACGAAGCTTGACTTGATCTCTGTTACAGGCTCAACATCATGGCCTTCATCTTCTTCCCAGGGCAATGTTATTGCTTGTAGATGTGCTTCTATTCTCCTCTTACAGACCGAGAATATGCCCTAGAATCTCGAAAGGGAAGAAGTTATGGTCCTCGGTATCCCGTTAGTTTGACGATGTCTAGTAACATTACATGCTATCTTCACAAACCGTGATCGCGAAGATGATTGGGAGCAAAGGACATCTTGAGACGGACGTGGTGGCTATGTTCGAAAAGCATCTTGGCATCGGCCTCTTGAATCGTTGAGCTCGACCGGTCGACTCATGCACACTTTTTCTCGTCTCTCAAACGCGTTTACCATCAACATCATCCATCATCCACGAGAAGTTAAGCTCCACTACTCTTCTTCAAGATCCTGCTCAACGCCGCCAGCATGGCTGCTCCCATCTTGTTGAACCTCCACGGTGTCATTGGCATTCGTCTCGACATCAACGTCCTCTCCATCGCTTTCTGGTGCTCCATACTCGCAGTCGCAGCCGCCACCCCTGCTCGCCGCGCCCACCTTGCCCAGCTCGCCAACCAGCGCGTCCAGTATGATGCCCGCAACATGAACTGGATCGAATTCCTCGCCTTCTGCATTATTCTCGTAGTCATCAAGTACAGCTTGGCCAACGCCCGTGCTGGTATGTGTACTGGACAAAAATTCTCGTTTCCCAGACTGACATCGGTTCAGCTCGTCGTGAACATGCCATGAGACGCCATCGCATCGGCGCAATTCTCGACCGGGCGGAGGAAATTCTTACTCGTCAACATGCCCGCCATGCCGAGATGGCTGGCGAGGAAGCCCTGTTCGCCCCTTCCGCTTCCGCCGTGCTCAGGTTGGCCATGACTGAGGTGAGACTTGCATATTGTCTGTCTGATGACTGTTACTGATGCCCTTGACAGTGTGCACATCGTTTTGCTTGGTGTTCAATGCTTTGGGGGACAACACGCTTGGTAGGCTTGTGGCCTCAGTCGCGAGGAGTGCTGAGCTCACCCTTGCTGCTGTGCAAATACTCGTCGAGGCTTTCCTACAGGTTTCTGCATGCCTTCTTGCGTTGTCACGCGTGGTTGAGAGAACTATCGTTCTGGTAGAGATGATGATCAGGATTCATGATCAGGGGTTGGGCTTGAGTTCAAAGGCTAGTCCCAGGTATCAAAAAGCCACATCAACCGTCTCTTGCCTATACGCAATGTCCTATAAAATGTTCTCTGCCTGCTGAGAGGGATTAGTGGTAAGTCAAGCTTCGATCACCTCTTGTATCTCTTTGCCGTGCTTATAGATTATCCAAAAGTGTGACATCGACTAGATTTTGGGTGGTAGGCTCGAAAGTGTCCAGGTTTGAATTTGAGGTGCACAGCACCTAGCAGACGTACACAACCTCACCATTATCGTCATTGTACCAGTACATCCGTGATCATTGGTGGAAACCTGGGGATTGACGGCGTTTTTCGAACAAGTAGTAGACGACGAAGTTCTGAGTCTCTGAGAAAGACGCAGATCCGCCCCGTCCAAACTGTCATGTTACTCGCAATATATGCAAGATAGTTCCGCAGTCCCGATATGTGTCCACTGATATCACAGCTCTTTGAATTCCACAGTATTAGATCTGGTCGTCGGGCAAGAGTATTTGGGCAGGGTCCTCGGCCTGACAAAGCTAACTTCATCATTCCAGCAGCGTTTCTGGCTCGGCCCGTACTCCCGCAATTTCGAGCGCGTCGCGTCTGCCCGCCAACTTCATCTCCTCTATCCTTGAAATCGACATTACACTCATGCGCCGCCCGATATGGGTATCCCTGGGTACACAATACGCACTTTTGACAGGCCAGAAACATTGCTGATGTGTGCAACAGCCTCTGGGACATCCTCGGCGAAGGCGAAATAAAGTCACTTGCCCAACTATCAACAGACCACTTTCAAAAACACAAGCGACCGTTACGCGTCGCTATCGATGAAACCGGCTGGCGCTTCCACAACCTCAGCGATGCTCAGGTCCATGCCATTCGGCAGAAAGTGCCTGAAGCCAATCCTATTGAAAAGGCCATCTTGTGGAGAGTACTCAAGCTTATGCGCATGAGCATCCAACCTATCTTCATTTTTGATGGACCCTCACGACCTTGGAAGAGAGGTGGTGTAGCGGGTAGAATTGACTGGAAGAAGATTGATCTATTGCGCAAGACGTTGAACATGCTCAAGATTCCGCATCATCGGGCTCCTGCTGAGGCCGAAGCGGAATGTGCGAGATTGAATGAGTTGGGTATCGTCGATGCTGTCTGGACTGATGATGGTGATGCATTGATGTTCGGAGCCAAAGTTCTCATCAAAGAACATCGTGAAGGCCGTGGCAATACCGCGAAGAAAAGCGATACTCTGGTCCGGATCTATCGTGCAGATGTCATTGAGCAGAAGCATCGCATCAATCGACAAGGCTTAATTCTGTTCGCTCTCTTGAGCGGAGGAGATTACGATACCAAAGGCTTGCCTGGCTGTGGTCATAAAGCAGCGCTGGAAGCTGCACAATTCGACAACGGCAGATTGGGCAAGATCATCTGCGAGACCCCTCTACGTCAACTCCACTGCTTCACCGAGTCGTTGCGAGAGTACTTCCAGATGCACAGCAGCAGAAGTGTCTACGTACCTCCTGGCTATCCTCGAGACTTGCATGTCAAAAACTATCGCGAGCCCAAGGTGTCGACTCCAGAGCAAGCCAATGATCTGCGAGGCTTGAAGAACTGTTGGTACGTGCCAATTGACGAGGCAAAGCTACGTCCCTTCTTGCTGCAAATGTTCAACTTCAGCACCAAAGAATATCTCAAGCATATACTGCCCATACTGTTGACGAAGGAGCTTGTGCAGACAACACCCGAGACCACCGACAAGAACCTCGTCTTCGAGCTTGGATTGGTTCAAAAGCGAGGTCGAGATTACAACGCAGAGTGTCTGGAACGACAAATAACCTTCAACCCGAGGAAATGCACCGAGCTGAATTTGTGGACACAACCTGGTAATGAAGACTGGCCAGAAGGCTTCGTCCCAACAGCACACGTTGAAGCAGAGCTTCTCGAATACGTTCTGGTGAACGCACTTGGAGAAGCAGAGGGGCAACGCCTCAAGCAGCTCGCAAGTCAACCAAAGTCAAGGAAGCGCAAGACTACCGACACAGAGCCAGAGCTTGAAAGCCAGACGTCCGTGAAACCAACGGACAGTGTGACTGTACCGAAAAAACAGAGGAAGAGTATCGCCAGCGAAGTGANNACGCTACCTCCCCATCGAGCACTCAGAACTCAACCAGCAAGCCTGCAGAGAAGCGCAAACCAACCAAAAGGCATGGCAAGACGAGTCAATCGAATGAAGAAGCCGAGCCAACCGAGCCCGAAGTGCTGACCTNCGCCAGTCAAGAAAGGCTTCCAGCTACCTCGAGCACTTGTACGCAACCCTTCCATGTTGTCAGAGATTGCCTTACGGAGCAGCCAAGATGTTCTATCTCGCAGCGCTTCTTATCAGTCCTTTGATTCGATGAACGATACATCTCGGAGAACTAATGATGTTTCCGTCTCAGGTCACACCTTACAGAGCACGCCTCAAGCTTCGGTGAAGCATCCCTTCGTACACACTCAAACACCACCAAGCAGCCAGCTCGACAGAGAAGCTGAATTGTGGTTATTATCGCAGCCACAGACGACCACTATTCACGAAGGCAGGACAAAGTCGCAACCGGTCTCGAAATCTTCCATCACGCCCTCAATCACACAACCGACAACGTTACAACCACCATCATCAAATCGTGGTCAAGTAGTCATTGATCTCGGGAGCGAAGACGAAGACACACAACCTGCACCAGTCTTTTCGTCTGCAACAGTTACTTATGCACCAATCCCGTTTGAACCGCCACCTTCTGCACCAATACCTTCTGCACCGATGCCACCTGCACCTACCTCCCCTTTGGACACAAGACAAGCAATTGCTGCTGCTCGACTGAAGCACTTCGAAAAGAAGGGGCATGAGACCATTGATCTTACGCTCGACGATTAGCATACTCCCTGGATAATGGGTTTGCTATCCCATGACACTCGAAGTAAGCTCATCACAATGGAAGATATGATGTCGATGTTTGGTCCTCTGAAGGCTGTCCGTGTCAAGCAAGGCAGTCTCGACCAAATCTCATCTCTTTCGAAACCACGAGTACCGACATGTACATACTATATCAATAGAAACTCGATTCGACTCAAGAAGCTCACACTGAGACATCCCAGACGTAGCACGCATAAGCGGAGTGCTGTTCTGAGTTATCACGATGTAACTCCAAGAAACTTCGAGCAAGACGTGCGAGAGAGCACCCGTTTGAGACGAATGACGTTTTACCAATCCTTTACTAAAGCACATTCAGGAGATTAATGACCTTGTTCTCTCAAGCAGCAGACATGTATACCCCAGAATATAGAAAGTCAATAGTCCATCTCCAGACTATTTGATTGGCTAGCTCGATATTCATCCAACCAGATCAAAGCTCGCCGACCTGTCAATCAGATCAATACTCCACCGCTCGTGTATCTTCCAACCAACTTTCTCGAGCTTTGACAAGGCGATCGGGATTTTAAGCTCTAGTATTTGCAAGGTCACAGCCGCGACGACTGCAGAAATTCCGAGCATTTGGACAAAGATTCAGGGACGGGTTTTTACCCGCGCTCGGGAAGCGCGGGCCCTTTGTGAAAATGCCCATAATCTTTCAGTGCTCGTATCGCTTGTTGTCTTGGCTGTTTGTATCTCTGTAACGCGGTTCGCCAGGCCTTGATGGGCCTGGAGCCGTCACGCGATCGCACGATCCAGTGGCTCCCCCGCTACCCCACCGGCTTGTCGCAACCTTATCAGGACAATTTCTTGGAGAAGCTTCGCTTCGTACATACATTAGCCGCGCCCAGTACGCTTCAAACTATTTCAGACCTGACATCACACCTCACCAGCAGTGCCGCAGCCTGGAGATTTCTGTTTATCAAATGTAGTGGGCAACAGCAGTCATCGAATCAAAACAAGACCAGTGTCAAAGTGCGGTCGTCGGAAAATTCGGCGGGTCAGTCACATGGGGACCCCAGCCCCCCAGGCCCCCCCGCACATTTCTGCCGATCTTTGCGCATTCATCCGCAAAGGAGGCCACACTCAGGCCAGCACGCTGCTTGACCGTGCCGAATGCAGCGTTACACTAAACCCCAGGCCCACCGGAAGGATTCAACCGTGGTCCACTTCGGCAATATGCAGGCCAGTACATGCGCGCTTGGAGAAATGACCTGAATCATCGGGTTTATTAGTAGCAACAGGCGTCGTATCGTTGTGCATAAAGCCAGTCGGTTCTCCCTCTATTTGCTCCTTTCATTTTGTCACCCCACAACTTCTCCAAACACCGCCAACATGAGCAACATCAACGAGAAGCCGACTTCGGCGATGGAAATCGAGACTCACCATGCTGAGTCGGGCTACGGTTTCGACGAAAAGGGCGGCTTGGATAGAGCGGGTGCTATCGATGCCGAGAATATCGAGCATAACATGACGGTCTTGCAGGCCATCAAGGCTTATCCTGCTGCCAGTTGGTGGGCCTTTGTCATGTCGTCCACCATTGTAAGATGTCTCCCATGAACAATGAATTATGTATCGTTAACGCTGTATCAGATCATGGAATCTTACTGTGTCTTCCTGATGGGACAATTCATCGCCACGAAGCAATTTGCCAGAGACTTTGGCGTCCTCAGCCCTGTCAGTGGCGACTATATCATCGAGGCCTCCTGGCAATCGGCCTTTCAATGTGCTGGCCCGGTCGGCGCTTTCATTGGTTGCTTCCTCGCCGGTCCCATCACCTCCGCAATTGGCTACCGCTGGGCGACCATTGGCGCTCTTATGTTTTTGAACGGCTTCATCTTCGTCTTCTACTTCGGCAACAGCCAGGGCATGTTCCTTGCCTCTCAGATCTTGGAAGGCATCCCATGGGGTGTTTTCATCGCCAACGCTCCTGCTTATTGCGCCGAGATCGTGCCAATGAGACTGAGAGCGCCTGCGACCCAGATGTTGCAGATGTTCTGGGCAATCGGTTCCATCATCGTTGGTGGTATCACTTATCACTTCCAGTCCAAGGACAACGCCTCTGCTTACAGGTATGTTCATGCTGGTGTCTACCCTTGAAGACCGTTGTACTAATAAACATGTTNNAGAGTTCCCATCGCACTCCAGTGGATGTTCCCAACTCCTCTCGCTATTCTCCTTTTCCTAGCACCTGAATCACCTTGGTGGCTTGTAAGAAAGGGAAAGCTGGCTCAGGCAGAGAAGGCTATTATGCGTCTTGGTCGCAAGNGTGCAGGCGACAACCCCAAGGACCAAGTATCCATGATGCGTCGTACCATTGATCTCGAGAAGACGGCCAAGAAGCCCAGTCTTATTGAGTTGTGGAAGGGCACCGATCGCTACCGCACGTTGATCGTGTGCGGTGTGTATGCGTCTCAAAATCTGACGGGTAACCTGATTGCCAACCAGGCTGTCTATTTCTTCAAGCAGGCTGGTATGGCAGACAACACTGCCTTTGCACTCGGCCTCATCACCTCTGCCCTCCAATGGATCATGGTCATCATCTCCTGGGTCCTGACCACCTACTTGGGCCGCCGCACCATCTATGTGTACGGCCAAGCTATCGCCACTTGCTTCTTAGTCGCGCTTGGTATCGCCGCCTCTGTTGGTACCAGCAAAGCAGCCTCCAACGCACAAGCCTCCCTTGGCCTTCTCGTCTCCGTCCTCTTCTGTCTAGGTCCCGCCCCTACCTCCTACGCCATCATCGGCGAAACCTCTTCCGTGCGCCTGAGACCATTGACCACCGGTGTCGGACGTGCCGCATACTACTTGGTCAACATTCCTTGCATCTTCCTTGCGAGTTACATGCTCAACACCGACAAGTGGAACCTCGGAGGCAAGAGTGGCTACATCTGGGCTGGTACTGCGTTGATCTGCACCGTCATGAGCTGGATCTGGATCCCTGAGATGAAGGACAGATCTTTCCGTGAGATTGACATTTTGTTCACTCGCAGGGTCAATGCGCGCAAGTGGCCCCAGACGGTTGTCGATGTCCAGGATGATGAGTAGACGTGATCTTATTTAGTGTAAACCTCACTTTTAATACAGAATCGTATTCAAAGATTTAATATTCTTTTCCTTTTGTGATTGTGAAAGCAGAACCAGGACTTTTGACCAGCCGGGAAATAAGTTCTGGCCAGCAAAGATTCGCCGCATTCTCGTGCCTGCCGCTTTCGTCGCCAGCATCACATTCCACCGCTTGCATCGCTCTTCTCTGTTTTGCCTCTGTCGCTTGCTTCCTCAGAGTTTGATCATTGACAAGCAAGTTCTTCCGCGGATGGTGGTGCCGTACATGTACCAGACTTGTGAACAGTACAAGAGTACCGCGTGCAAGTACGAAGATGCGAAGGATGTCTCAAGTGCCAAAGGCCTATTCAGCCTAAATAGGTGATTGGTGGAACACTGCGAGACCTTTCCGTCGTGTGATCGTCACTCTCGCACCAGTCGCCCACGGGGTGCTCCATCATCCTTCACGCGGGGTGTCGCATCGACGGTGCATCGTTGACACCCTTGTCGATCCTTCATCTCCTCGCTCGTGAACATCTGCCGAAGCCCTACATAGGCAGGACGACGACGTTCGAGTCTTGTTATCGCGAGCTTCGACTCTCATCCATAAGCTGTACCTGAGTCTGCGCTCTTTGCGCTCAATCCAATCCTAGTCGCATTCCCGTCAAGAATATCGTCGAGGAATCTTTGTGCCCTGTGATATCCTTCTGATAGCTTAGCACTTCATTGACAACAACGATCTGGCAGATCTAACGCAGACGAACCCTCACTGCCAGATGAGCACGAGCCAGACATTGCTGTCCTCAGACCATTTGGTCTACGGTTCTTCTACAGCCGAATCTTGTAGCTCCTTTCTCTACCTAGTAATCAATCTTTGACCATTCTCAAGTATCGCGCTATATATCACTCATAAAGGACGAAGGTTCCTTTGCAGACAAGGAGAGGATGCCAACTGCTTATGCTGGCTTCCGTCGTTGCAGTGGGTAATGCGAATCCCGCATAAGGATCGCAGATATCGACACCCTGCATCTAGACTGCCCATGAGAAAATAACATATCAAAAACTTCATTATATTACTGCGGATACCTTCACATATCCTCCAAACTGTCATTTATCCGTCCCAATCTTTCCTGGCGGTCGAGATAGCTATCTGCCATTCCGAACATCATTGCTTGCAGTACAACCCTGCCCGCCAAGCCCATCAAGCTACGAAGCCTCGGCATCATTCAAATCCTACAGCGAAATTTTTCCTGTCGAAAAGATTGCTGCTGCTCGGTCCTACTGCTATGGGTAGCTCAGAAGCAAGAACAGAAGCAAAAGAATTTTCCGACACGGGGAATTGAACCCCGGCCTCCTCGGACCTGATCGTTGTTTGTAGAAACAACTGTTTGAGAGCGAGAAATCCTAGCCACTAGACCATATCGGATGTTGTTGTGGATGATTCTTCCAAATTATCACATGTACTATTTGTGGCAAGCCGCGAGCGTGAAAATTGATTATCGCTTCTCAGCAATGATCGAGCGCCTAAACATTTTGCATTTACAAGCACTTGGACACAAGTCATCGCGCAAGTGGGCGAGGGGGTTTGGCAGATGTGACACTATCTTCAGCTTGATTATCTCTCGAAAACCACGCAGAAGTGACGATTAAAGACCTCGCTAACCTCGAAGAAGGAATGACTAACTAGCATGCCGCCAGGATATTGACATGGGCCCTACAGCATGGCTTTAACCCTGATCTTAGTTGTACGACTGCCTCGAACAGAACACGTCCAGTATCCTTATGGATTGAATCCAGCAAAGAAATCGAAGCTGTTCTTTGAACATCTTCGTCGGTCGCAAAAGCCCATTTTTGGCATCGCTAAAGCGTTTTCCCCCATCTCTCTGCCCCGCAAAAGAAGGGCCGATTGCAAGTGTATACACTTTCCAACCTCCACACACATCTTCCATATTCACAGAGACAGACTTTCTTGGCTATCAATCAATTTGGAAGCGTTGGTATGAGAAGTTGCAATTTTTGCTGCACAGATCTGTTGTTTGCTGGTGCTGTCGAGAATAGACTTTGTTCTGGATCATTTCCCCAGGAAACGGTTGCTGGGAATGTCTGGGGAAACACACCCTTGCAAGATGGCGAAGGCATGACACTTTCTTCTATGTTCGGTTTGCACTTCCCTCCCTGACTCTGCAGGCGACAGTGATGGACCAACAATCTGGCGAAAACTCTGCAAAGTATGGGGAAATGAGATGAGGAGGAGAAGCTAGCGAGAACATGGGACGATGGTATAGACTAAGAGAGAGTTGTTGACGCCTTGTCTTGGCTTCAACAGCAGGCGTCGAGCTTAGTTGTGAAAAGAGGTTGCAAGCGAGACGAACAACGCTCTCTGGCAGAGACTGGCCTATGCCTCGGAAACATGTCACTTCCCCCCTCGAGATCTGGCTTTTGACTCGGAAGACTGCAAAGCTTGCTCATCTGCTATGCCTCGATATGTCTGGTTTGGAGCAGTCGCCAGAACACAAGTTTCTATTGCCATTCGTATGCTCAAACAAGTACGGTAGGCAGAGGCGAGAATCAGCGAAAAGAGTATAACATTAACAGTGACACGTGGAGATGTTCTGGAAAGAGATGGTGTCAAAGTTTCTTGCAGATTGAGTTTTATGGAGAACGACAATGGAAACGACAGCCATGTTTTGTGGCGGACGATGCGGGGACCCCTCAACATCAGAAGGGGCAGGAGAGTGTGCAAGTGTGAGTGTTCGGTCGGTGTGCTGCTTCCCATTTGGAAGTCTGGCGGAAGTTTGTTTGCACCTTCCCTCCAGCCCATCGTGCTTTCCTCTAACAAAACATGACGCATTGACCCCAGCATCAAGTATAAGATGGCTGCTCACGCGCTCCATCTTCCCTTGGAACTTCCACTTTCTTTTATACGACATCGCCCAACCGTCTGTCAGTGCGACAAACTGGTCAACAAGCTCTGTCTTGTGCCCCTCTTTCCTTGTTCAAAAGCCATACCAACTTCTTCCTCTCCTCACCGACCCGTTCTTGCAAGACCAGCATCAACTCTGCAAACAAGCCGTCCTCCATCACGCTTATCGAAGATGGCTCCACCTACCATCCGCGGCACGGCTGATGTCGACCGCATCGAGGCTCCAGTCACCTTCAAGGCCTACCTGATGTGTGCCTTTGCCTCGTTCGGAGGTATCTACTTTGGTTATGATGTCGGCTGGATCAGGTCAGTTTCTCACATGCTTTGCGGCTTTCCCAAGAGGCTGACAATGAATCAANGCGGTGTTATGGGCATGAAGTATGCCATTCACACCTTTACTGGTCTCCCTTACGACACTCCCAAGGACGACTTTGTGGTCGGAGCTAGTGACAAGGCCCTAGTCACGTCTATCTTGTCCGCTGGAACCTTCTTTGGTACGTCGTATTTTGTCTGGTTTATGTGACAAACGTTCTAACAGTCCACAGGTGCTCTGATTGCAGGTGATCTCGCCGACTTCTTCGGTCGTCGCACCACCATCATGATTGGCTGCTTGATCTTCTCCATCGGAGTCATCATGGAGATCATCTCAACTACCATCAGCCTCATGGCCGCTGGTCGCTTCATTGCCGGACTCGGTGTCGGCTTCGAGTCTGCTGTCGTCATTCTCTACATGTCTGAGATCTGTCCTCGAAAGGTCCGTGGCGCCCTGATTGCTTGCTATCAATTCTGCATCACGATCGGTATCCTGCTTGCTTCAGTCGTCGTCTATGCCACCCAGGACCGTATGGACAGTGGGTCTTACCGTATTCCTGTGGCCGTTCAGCTCGCCTGGGCTCTCATCCTGGGGGTCGGTATTGCCTTCCTGCCCGAGTCGCCGCGCTACTTTGTCAAGAAGGGTCAACACGAAAAGGCAGCCGCCGCTCTTGCTTCGGTCCGTGGTCAGCCCATCGACTCACAATTTGTCACTCAAGAGCTGGCCGAGATCATTGCCAACCACGAGTACGAGCTCTCTGTCATTCCCCAAGGCAGCTATTTCTCGTCTTGGGCCAACTGCTTCAAGGGTTCGCTGTGGAAGGCCAACAGCAATTTGCGTCGTACCATCCTCGGCACTTCTCTCCAGATGATGCAGCAGTGGACCGGTGTCAACTTCATCTTCTTCTTCGGTACCACCTTCTTCCAGCAGCTCGTAAGTTTCTTCTTTTCACAGCTCGATGAAAGCGACTAACACATGCAGGGCACCATCTCCAACCCCTTCCTCATCGGTCTCATCACCACCCTCGTCAATGTGCTGTCCACTCCCATCTCTTTCTGGACGATTGAAAGATTCGGCAGACGTCCTCTTCTCATCTGGGGTGCTCTCGGCATGCTCACCTGTCAATTCCTCACTGCTATCATGGGTACTGCCATCTCCACCGAAAACCAGGCAGCCACAAAGGCTCAGATCGCTTTCATCTGCTTGGCCATCTCCTTTNTCGCATCCACCTGGGGTCCTGGAGCTTGGGTTCTGATCGGTGAGATCTTCNCCTTGCCCATCCGCTCTCGCGGCGTTGGTCTCTCGACCGCAAGCAACTGGCTCTGGAACACCATCATCGCCGTCATCACGCCGTTTATGGTTGGTAAGGACAAGGGTAACCTCGGTCCCAAGGTCTTCTTCGTCTGGGGAACTCTCTGCACCTGTGCTTGCATTTATGCCTACTTCCTCGTACCTGAGACCAAGGGATTGTCGCTTGAGCAAGTTGACAAGATGCTCGAAGAGGTTACTCCTCGCAACTCTGCTGGTTGGAAGCCTACCACTACTTTTGCCAATGAGATGGGCATGACCAAGGAGGCTGGTGTCACTCATGAGGAGGTCCACATTGATGTCGAGAAGAGAGCTGGTTCTCAGTAAGCGACGGCAAGAGATCGGAGATATCTCCTGGAGGAACAGAACACAAAAGATTGCTTTGCGCATTTCTTCATGATACGGTTATTGATTCTTGTCTGGCTGAGAAAGTGTAGAGAGCTTAAGTTGCACTGAGATAACATGAAAAGTACTTACCACAACGTCAGCTTGTTCATGTCGTGTTCGAACGATGCCGTGTATAGAAACGCGCATATCTGCAACCTTTTGCGTCGGCTGGCGTGTAGGCGTAATGACTAGATCATCCCTCATATACTCGTAAAGCGACTGAACTCATATGCCGCGTTCTTCTCGCATCCCTTCATTCTCATCAACCGGCCAGCGGCGGTCGTCCAACCTACTCAGGCACCTTGACACCAGTCACCCCCTCGAGAATCCCAAACAACTTCTCCTGCGTCTCCACATCTTTCGCTTCTTCTCTGAAGCCTCTCTGCTTCATCTGATAGTAATGCCCTACCTCCCTCTTCCCCGCCTCTCCCTCGCCGGTACACACCATGGCAAACGTCTTCACCGCAGCATCCAAATCATCCATCGCATTTGGCCCTCCCATCTTCGTCTTCACCCACCCAGGATCCACACTCGCTGTCGGAATGCCAAACCTCCTATGAAATCCCCACGCAAAAACCACATTATGCAATTTTGAATCCGCATATGCTTGTGCATCATTCCACTTTCCCTCGCCCCTTTGTTGCCAGGTGATGTCTTCCAATCCAGCATTGCCGTTTTGATGCAATCCACTGCTGACGAAAATCAAGCGTTTGGGCTTTTGCATTAGACAGCTAAGCAGGTAAGGTGCGATTGTGTTTACAGCGACTAGTGCTGGCATATTGTCTTCAGTGCGTCGGAAGGGTCCTAAGTACAGTCCTGCATTGTGCATTATGGCATCGTAGGGGCCGTGTTTATCTGCTTCGGCAGCGAAGGCGCGGATGCCGGCCAGAGTGGACAAATCACCGGTGATACAGGTGTGAGCGGAAGGACAGGCGGAGGTGGCATCGTGGGCGCGGGAGGTGTTGCGGGCGTGGAGGATTACTTGGTGAGACTGCGAGAGCAGGTTTGCGGTTAGGAGGCCTAGGCCGTCGCTGGAGCCTGTGATGAGGATGCGCATTTTGGGGTGGGAGGGGAAGGTGCGATACTCGAATGCGATGGGAGCTCTTTCCTTATCCATCGAGGTGGTTTCTACACGTCATTGTTGTGGTCAGAAGTGTTGGCCAGGACTTGAGGGGAAGGAAGCCGAGCTTCTAGTTTCTCTCGTTTCAGCATGTTGACATCCTCAGAATACAACGACATGACTTCTTACCATCGCAAGTTGCTTTCTCGATCACCGGAACTCATTAACCGGTGTATCTGAAACAGCTGGATTTCTGACAGTTCTTGTGCTGCTCGAGTCGCCAAGGATCTATCAATTTGACCATGAAGCTTCTTCGGGCGCAATCTCAGCTGCACGACGTCTCAACTCCTTCGCTGCTATTTGCACCACACAGACAGAGCTAGCATGGTTGCTAATACATACGTCGTACACCTATCTGTTCAGCCATTGATTCCAAAGGTTTCTGCAGTCGTCTTGATCTCTCGCGCCGTCGCTATCCGAAGAATCAGGACCTTCCACTGCACACACTTTGAGGACTCTGAGGATCTCATCAGCACTGCAGCAATCATGTCTCCGGACGGAAGAGATCTTCTGTACTCACTAACATTACAATCAAACCAAGCGCATGAGGACTTGCCGTACAGGAAGCTAATGCAGCTTACGATCTTCTTTTCGACCGAGTCAAGCTGTATGGAATAGGCAACGGGGTCGATCACTTCATCGGAAAAGGCTAGGGACTATCGACCTAGGATGTCGCCATGTACATTCAGCCAAAACGAGATGTCTCTAGCCCCACCGTCCACTTCTATTGGTACAGAGCAGTCAAATGGTCTAATCCACTGTCTATGTTGATCCTCTCTGATGGCCGATCAGCAAACCGGGATTGACGATTCTGATGATATCGATTTTATTTGCGCTGGCTTGATTGAGCACAAAGACCTCGATACGTGTGCGTTTATAATCTCAATTAGGCTTCGCTACACCACGCTGGTATGCATAGAATTTGGATCTGCCGCCAAACAATAGCATATTCTGGTTCAGTATGTCGCAATAGCATTCTCTGTTTGATTGTGCGAAATCAGCCTCACAGCCTAATCGACTTCAGCCTCATGGCCTGGTCGAAGTTAGCCTCATGGTCTGGTCGCAACGGCATCAGCGACATCAGCGCCATTCTTGGTGCTTTTTCTAGAATGCTGGTCATGTCTCGCCGGCGGCCAGCATCGGCATACTCAGGGTTTACTTCAATCTCGGTATCAATGCGAACCACTCCAGCTATGTTTGCCGTTCATATCAAGACAAGAACAAAAGTCTCCAAGCAGGCATATCAGAAGTCTGTTCTATTCTACGGCCACTGTTTCATGGCTCACGTTGACTAGAAGACTCCGAGCCATGAGCCAGCTCGCTCATGTCACGGGGGACGAGGAATCTAGTCGGGGGTTACTGCTGGCTTTTTCGCCTCTGTAAAGCAGCAGCGAATTGCTCGGATTCTTGGAGGAAGCAGATCAGCTTTCAGTGGGAATGCCATCCACTTGCCTGAATCGCCATGATGAACAATCTGATAAAGTCGTCATGATCGATCTGCAAGTCCGGAAAGATGCCAGAGGTCTTTCGAACCTCTTCACGCCCACCACCACTGACTCGACATACCACTCCGCGGGCCAACGTCCCGTCCGAGAAGTCTCCATCAAGGTTGTACGTGCTGGTCTTCAGGTACCCGTCTCGGAGGCATCCGACTCCAGAAATCAATGCAAAGAGCGAGATCAGCATCGTTAGAGTCAGTTTCGACCCACATACTGAAGTCTGGAGTACAGATTGATGCGCTCGGGACGGAAGAAATCTTGGTAGACGGAGACAACCGAGTGTGTCTTACTGTGCAGGCGACTGAGGCTGTGCTTCTGGAAAGACGGACAACTTGTCGATCGTACTGTCCTTCTCATGACTGGAAGTAGCCTTCTATCAGGCCTGCCTCGGCCGAGCATTTGTTTTTGTGTTTTCCTGCGATTTGGCCGAAAATCTTGAGTCGCGGAGCCAAGATATGTTGATCTGGGCTTGGCGTTGGACGTTTGAGCGTTGTCGAACACTTCCCCGAGACCTCTTGGAAGGTTAACAGATGAAACTTCTCGAGCACTTTGTTTGAAGCGAGCTTGTTCCTCTCAATTTTGTGATCTACAGGTACCGACCCGAGGCACGCAGATGCAAGAAAAGGTTCGTGAGTCTGGAGGTTTCGAGATTTTTTTGGTTGGTGATGATCGTGCACGGGTCCGAGACTGACACCTGTCGTCCTGAGTCATGGAAATACGACCATGATGACACCTTTGTTTTTCCTCTTCTGTCAAAGGTCTTGCCGGTCTCTTCGTGTAAACACGACAAAAGTCTACTGGCTTCACTCGAAACATACCAGAATTCGTCTGAGCCGACCCGTCAAGCACTTGTCGTACCGGCTTCCGTACAGGCGACTCCAGGAACACCCGGTCTGTCTTGCAAGCAGTGCGGCGATCTTTGCTCGGAGCAGGACATCATCCAGGGTACGACTCGTTATTCTTGACGATTGCGGTACTTGCAGATTAACTTTTCTTGGCTTAGCTGCCCGCGTTACCGATCATCTTCCTTCGAGGCGTCCTCCCTGCATCGAAGGCGTTGTAGGACTCGGTAATCGGAGCTTGATGAAGTGTCAAATCCTTCAGTACTTTACGACTGTACATTAACCTTTGACAGCCCTACCACCGCTGCATGGTATGAAAGTCGATGTTGGAACACAAACAGAATCGATCAACCACGTTATCCCGCTCCAACTTCATCGACACTCTGCCACACGGACCTCCGCCGCGGCGAAGGGAAGTAGATTGCGCACAAAAGCACAGGCGGTGCTCCGGTCTGAGTTTCGAACATCATCGCCCAATCCAGTCTTGCTGATCCCTCACCAATTCCCCTAACTCCAAAGTGACAAACCGCTCCCCGCGTGGATACTGATTTCGGCTGCTCTGACTCGGCATGTTTTTCCTTCTCAGACCCTGCTTACGACTAGCTACGACGATCCATGTTCGCCTTGCTATATAGTTTGTACGCCTGAGCCCTTATCGCCAGAGGGAGAACTAGGCGTCTCATATAGTAGGTCTCTCCTTGCTTCTTTCTATCCCGCTGTCTTGATCTCCTGGTCTTTTTCCTTTTACCGTTCCTTTTCCCCTGTTTTTCCTTTTCTCACTTACCAAGACGATGCCTACTTGATCGCATATTCTACATCCTACAATCCTTCATTCCTTGCGTTTCATATCTCTTTTCCTCACAGAAAGAGTCGACTGCATATGCGATAGCACAGATGGGTACCGATGACCGAAGCGGCCAGATTCTTGGCGTGGCTATTGCTTTCTTGATTCCCACTGCTCTATCCACCATATTGCGAGTCTACACGAGGTTTGTTTTTCTACTCATTCTCCTTGGAGCATCAGACATCCGTGCTGACAACAATTTTTACAGGACGAAGGTTCTCCGTAGTCAAGCTGGACGCGATGATGTCGCTATGGTGGCCGCTTTTGCACTGTACCTGATATATCTTGTCTGCCAACTCTCAGGTGTTGCACATGGTAGTGGCAAGAAGAGATACCTTATACCGGATGACAAGATCGCACAAACCGGTTTGATGGTTAGTCGCATATTTACCTGCGCGACCAATCGATTTTTGATGACTGACATGCTGCAATTCAACAGTNACTGGTTCTTTTGCGAAATCTCGTATACTCTTGCAACCGCAACTCTCAAAATTAGCATTGGTCTGTTCCTGCTTCGCATCGCCGTCGACCGTACGCACATCTGGATCATCCGCTGGATCATGATCTTCAACGTCATGTTTGGCGTCCCCTATTGCCTTTTGGTCACTTTCCAATGCAAGCCTGTATCCTTTTGGTGGGATTTGAGTCCAAACGCTCAGGGCAAATGCATCTCTCCCAAAGTCATCGTCATCAACACGTACATCATTTCGGTCTTGAACTCGGTGGCCGACTGGACGTTTGGTATCTTGCCGTTCTTCATCGTGAGGAAGTTACAGATGAAAAGACAGACCAAGATTATGGTGGCGAGTATCTTGGGGTTTGCTGCTCTGTAAGTCTCTCGTCTTACACCTCTTATCCCCAACCAGGAAGAATAGGAGCTGACATGTAGTTTGCAACAATACAGAGGTAGCACGGCCACAATCGTCCGCACCCCCTTCGTCCACACCCTCGCAGACTTCAAAGGCGAATTCCTCTACAACAACGCCGACGTCGCCATCTGGACAACCGTCGAACTGGGCATTGGCTGCACGGCCGCAAACGCCGCCACCTTGCGTCCCCTGCTGTCTCTCTTCCGCTCCCACTTTGGCATTGCGTCCACACAAACCGGCTCCCGACCTTTGGGAGGCACCATTTCCAGAGGAGGAGGCNAAAGAAGCAAACGCAGCGACATGGACGACCAAACCCTCGTCACCCTCGACGAACTGCGCGCCGGAGGAGTCGAGGGCGGCAAAACCGAAGTCATCATCGCTGGAGGCTATACACCAGGCCACGACCTGCCACCANTGCCCGCCCCCGGTCTCGGCGGCGCATGGAAAACACGAGAAGTAGTGCAGAGCGTGGAGATACGCACGAGTATCAGTGAAGGCAGTGAAGGCGACAGCGGCAAGGAAGAAGACGAGAGACGCATTAATGGGTCCAGCAACGGCGCAAGGAATCCGGGGATTAGGCCTGCGGGGAGGGGAAGACAGGATACTATTGGTGAAGAGCAGGAGGGCAGGAAGGCCACGCAGCCTTATGAGCGGTTATGACAATAGAGCTTAATACAATTTTCTGTGTCCAACTATCTAATCTTGTATGTCTCTCTATTGTCGAAGCTTGCAATACTCGGCCGCACCAGAGCAACATCATGCCTTAGCAGCCGTTGCAACCACAATCGTCAACCACTGATCCCGCAAACTTGACCTTTGGGTCAATCAGTTCATATAAGGGTCGCATAAGCTGCTTCCGCTACCTTGTACTTTGCTTCAACCTTTCTTCCCAACCATCTATACTCGGCATCCTTGCACCACGATGAACGAAGACCAGCTTCTCAAGGCGCNNCACCGCGACCCGCTAGATCCCTAAGACCCTGCACATGATGCTGGTCGCATTATCAACGCTCAAACTACTCTTTACCCTCACANNAAGCACGACCCAGGACNNGTTGCCGCAAAACAACTCAATGCTCTCAGCCTCTTCAATCGCACCCTCAAGCCAAATCAACAACCCGAAGACATTGAAAGTTCCCTCTGGAAGTTCTGGNGGGTTGTGGTGAGCCTGAGTCAAGCCTACGAACAAANNGATAACGAACAAGCGCAGACTTGCATCATCAAGATCATTGGTANNGAACTCAAGAAGCTTGAGGTACAAGAGGTCACTATTTGGGATAAGAAGACTAAGCTGTGGGATAGTTTGCCTATACTTGGACCTGTGCTTACAGAACTCTATGGTAAGAGTTGCGGGTATCGTGACAAAAGACGTTGACTGACAATGATGGTTGTGAATATATCTCAACATTCGGTGGATTTTCGTGCTTTCTTCAACAAGATCCGGGATGCGGGTCTGATGGAAGTGAGATTTTGATAAAGCTCTGTTGTTGCGATGTCTCCCCGTGTGCAAAGAAATATAAGACGTGTGGTGGTAAAAATGCACGATAGTATTAGGAAAGAAGATAGTGTCCACTGAAATGCGATGTTCTATCAGCTCTCTTTGGCCATAACTATAATTCTCGATAGGATTGTGCGTTTTGATAGGCATACTTTGCTCTCATGGGTAGGTGGGACAGCGTGGGAAACGGTGGTTGAATAGGTAATTGCAACGCTCGTCATTTTCTGCTACTTACATTACGCTTGTCTTCAGACCTATTGCTGGGCCTGTGGCAGTTGTACGGTGTCATGGAGAAAACGATGAGATGCAGTGGCCTGGCGTAACTTGATAGTTTTGTAGGGTATCAGCATCTCATGTTCGTCCGTCGTATATCGACGTCGTTTGTGCTTGCTAGCAGGCAACTATGGACGAATGGATGTGTCCGAGAGTCCGTAGTCAGGGGATACATCTGCACGCGTTCGTCATGGTCGAGAGTTCCGTCATCACACCAAACGACCAAAACACGTAACGTGAGAACCACTGCGTTTGACGCGTTTCTTCCTTCGCTCTGGTCGGGCACCACAAAAGACGACAGCAAACTCCGTAAGTCGCACACAGCATCTCTCTTACAATACTGCCTTCACGAGACTAATCCCGCTCTGCGACTAGTCTTTCTCGCCGCGCAAGACCGGTGAGAAAAAAGGAACACCAAGCACTTTCTCTCTCTTCCTCTCGCTCCCCTCACTGCGCATCAACACCCTTGAGCGCTTCTCTACAACAGTCATCGTATGTTCTGCGCTCTGTGAGCCTCATTAGCTTCAACACCGCTTACGAAGTAGATAGACAAGCGACGTCAATGGCTACCCCTGGCCAACCCAGCATGATAGACCCCTCGATTCCTCCTTCAGATTGTTCTTGCAAGCTCACGCGAGTCCCTCCTGAGGTCGCGCTCAACATCGTGAAGAACGTTACCAGCAAGACAGACTTGCTGAACGTCATGGTCACCTGCAAACACCCCAAAGACCCAGCAGAGACCATGTTGTGGAATGTCTGCAACACCAGGGGCTATGAGAAGCTCCTCAGTCTTACACCCATCGAGCAAAAACATCACAAAACCAAGGTGCATACTTTACTGCTCGACTTCAAGGACAACGGTCTTCAACCTAAAGACCTGGAGCTACAGTTGCCTTGCCTTCGAGATCTCAGTATCGTTCATTGGTCCCACAATCCTGTCAATGTGCAGGTCAACGTCAGCAAGCTCATCACGCCGAATCTTAATCATCTGACAATCGCCAACGGCAGCACTGACAACTTCCTCCCTGCACTGCGTCAAGCCAAGCACCTTGAGGTCTTGTATCTGGCATTGCCCGTCAGAGTCAATGGAGTTGATCCGTCGCAACTCTTGTCCTTGGTACGCACTATGCCCCATCTAACCACGCTTGATGGTGCGNTTCTTGCCTGTAGCGAACTGCTCAATGAAGCCGCTGGCCGCGGTTTCGTCGCGTTACATTTGCATCATGTTCCGATCAGTCTCTCTCAAATTTCAAGGGCTCTCCAAAACCCTCAGCTATTCTCGTGCCTAGGAGATCTCACAGCAAGGATGCAAGCAAGCGCAGCAGTTTTGCTGTTGGGGAATCTGCCTCAACTCAAGAAGTTGTCGCTCCACGTTACTACAGCACTCTCTCCAGGCGAGGTTTACACTTCTGCCGTCATTGCAGTCATTAGAGCGGTTGGCGCAAAGATCGACCTCTCACACATGTGGCTGTCGTTCAGCAGCGTCCCCATCACCATCGACATCAAGCATTTCGAACCCTTGAAGAATCTGGTTCACCTTGAGTTATTTGCTTTGGCCCATCAGTTCGACGTACATTTCCGAGTGACTGACGATCCGCAACCCTTCTCCTCGTTGTGTCCTCTCCGCGTTCTCTTCCTCGATGCCATGAGCATGACTTCCAGCGACGACTTCGAATGTATCGCAAGCAACCACCCAGACCTTCGAGAACTGGTCTACAAAAGACAGTTGGATTTCAGCCAGTTGTCTTCGCAGTTCCCATCGCTTTTGTGGATGGACGTGAGCTCAACAGACATTGTCCTGACAGAATCGAACTGGTAAGACTTCGGCGTCTTTGCTTCCTTGCTCTGAGAACTTGCCAATTGACATTTGTTCGCAGGCNCTACCGCTATGGCAACTCTAGCCAGAAGCCTCATCGCCGTCGCGCCCAAGTTGGAGCGCTTCCGCACTGGTCATAATGGGGCAATTGATATTGAAATCCACTTCAAGCATTCCCAGAACTGGATTACCTGCACTGGCCAGAACGAATGGAACGACGGTATACTTTTCGTCATATGAAAATTTGTTGTTCTTCCGGCACGTCCACTCTATGTCGCCTTCGACGCGGGGCTCTCTCATCATCAACTGTGCTTGACGACGTGAAGGCTACTTGCGTGTGGCATCGTTTGGTTCGAAAGAGATGGAAGTTATTGGTCGATCAAGAGGGGTTTAGATTGGTACAGGAAGGGAACCTGGCTAGCTTTCTCTCTTCTGGTTGCCGCCACGTCGCTACCGTACTCATTTTTTCTTTTCGTATAAACATCAGGTTGGAACTGTTTACGCCTCGCGCATGAGGACACAAGGTTGAAGGACGAAAAGAAACGAGAAGAGAAGGAGAGGTTGTGGAAGGAAATTCGCGGTGGAGCTTTACATTCCTTTCTGTTCTCCAGCGCGATTCTTTTCTCTTTGTCGAGCACTTTTTCGACGTCGCTTGCAGTATACCCAAATGCGATTTTGTCTTTGTTTTTATGGTCGGCACTTCGATAGCCATAATCGTGATACTTTTTTTGATATTCTAGAGTTGGAAGTTGAAGTGTTCTAATCGACTCAAGAGTACTGATGGCTCGATGCTGTCCGTTGTACTCCAAGAAAATAGAGGTCATATTGTAGGAAGTCAAAATGCGGTTCAACAACATCCGATATGGTCTAGTGGCTAGGATTTCTCGCTCTCAAACCGTGTTTCTCAAACACAACTAGGTCCGAGGAGGCCGGGGTTCAATTCCCCGTGTCGGAATCTTCTTTGCATACCTAGACAGAAAACTTTCTATCAAGTGGTGGAAAAGCTTTTGAAAACGGTGGTGAGTGCTGCGGGGCTTTGTCGGCGGAGCGGAGGTTTTGCGGCGAGATTTTTGCTAGACTACGAGGCTTGGCTGTGCTTTTCTGGAGGAAGAACAACGTCTGGGGTTGTATTCATGATAGTGTGGTTGATGTGCAAAGAATTAGAATGCTCTCGTGTAGAAGTGGCTTTGATCTTGGTTCGTGTTGAACCGATAACCTTACGCAAAGAGGAGATCTGCTGCTTGAGACACAAGTGTAGTTATGGAGCCGAACAAGAGACAGAGAAGAACCTCTCGTTGAAGCGATGAAACGATGCTACCCACTTGCTATCTATTGAGACTCTCTCCAGCATTGACGGCTGCCATGTACATGGAGAGGACGCAGGAGCCTGTCAGAGTTGGCCTCGGTCGGTACCATAGAGCACACCAAACTTCGATCGATGCTCAGTGGCAGGCATGTTGCATCAGTTCTGCTTAAAGCGGAAACAGAAAGGGAGCTATAGGGAAGAAGTGCTTTGACTCCTGGCAGAGTGTCGGTACAGACCTGGTAGGAGTGCTAGTCGGTCAACTCTGGCATTCTATGCGCCATCACCCCCTTGGAACGAGGATGCCGCTCAATCTTCTGTATTCGATCAATCTACCATCTATTCCCTGATAGCCAGGAGGATGACTTGTGTTGATGCAGCGACTCAGACGTAGAAAGGCCTGCTGATTCGTCGCTTTTGCTCCCTTGTCTTCTCCCGATCTGCTATTTCGAGGTTTCGTCCAAGACTTGGTCGCCGCCCTCCTCTTGCCTATGCTCGCACGCAATTTTTTTTTCTTTGCACAACACTCGCAACGACGAAAACTGACCATCAAGAGCGTCTCCAGCGCCACCAACACCGCCACCATGGGCACCTATCTGGAGCCAGGAACCTTCAACATCATCACCCCTGCTCTGCATGAGCCTATCACGACCCACCGCAAGAAGAAGTCGCAGTCTCGACAGCACCACGGTCCACCTGTTCAGATCATTTCTCCAGCANAACCCCCTCGCGGCACCAGTCGCCCCATCTTGAGTTTGCCCACTGAGCTACTGGTTGACGTCATCGGGTATGGCAGCCAAAGAGACAAATTGGCTTGGATGTTGGTGGGTCGCAAATTCATCGACCCCGCCGAGCGCGCACTCTGGCGCGTCTGCAGTCGTGCTGGGTTCTTCCAACTCATGAGCATGGATGGCGAGAAGAGAGGACGTCTTGTCAAGATGATAAGTCACCTCGATGTTGGAGACGAACCATCCTGTGGCCGTGGTGGTATCANNTGGGCATAAACGCTTCCCCCTCCTCAGGACGGCATCTACCCAAACCACATCCCCATGCTGCCTGTCAGTCAGTTCATCCATTCCAGACTGAGATCACTCACAGCCCTAGCATTTTNNGGGGGGATGAACAGCGCGATTGATGGTGTCTTTCCCGCACTGAGGCAAGCATCTTGCTTGGAAGTTCTACAGATCACCCATCATGTTGAGCGCAACACACCGCATGCCTTCCCTCAACTTCTGGAGTGTCTACCTCGTCTAAGAGTCTTCTGGGCTTACCACTTTGGCTCTGAGAATCTTTTCCCCAATCTTGCTGCAGTGCCGACTATCCAGGTCATCTCACTATTCGGCACTCTCGATTCTCAACTTGTACATCAAGCACTCAAGATAACTGGTGCCTTCAACAAACTCGAAGCGTTAGACATTGCCATTCGCGTTGATGCTGCACCCAGCCTTCTTCGTCACCTGCCCCAGCTCAAGACACTCTGCATTGCTCTTGATGATGATGATGAAGAAGAAGAAGAAGATGATGATGATATGCTATCCTATGAGGAGCTCGCGGACGCCACCAAATCAAGTCTGCAGGCGATCGGCGCCATGTCGAGCCTGACAATGTTGAAGCTGAACTTCACGTATTTCGACTTGCCCGACGAGATGAAGCCGCTGAAGCAGCTGTCTTCGCTTCGCGAGCTCGTGCTCACGCCTTTCCCATTCGAAGATGATGATGATGATGACGATGTTCATCTTTCGGCGGCAGAAGATCACTTGACGGACATCATCGAGGTGCTGCGCTCGTTGCCCTTGGAAGAGTTTCACTCCAACCTCAGCTTCCACGACGCANAAGGACTCAACAGTCTCGGTAGAGCCTGCCCTCACCTACTTTATCTACACATTGATCGTTGTTACGATCTCGATGGTCTCGACACACGCTCACCTACAGTCNTTCCCAAGGTTGAAGCAATTCCATACCTCAGCCGTTCGGTTGCGGGCCTCGAGGGAGAGGTGAGTCATTTCTTGCATTTATTGTATTCAAAATCGCTGACATCTTGGAGTAGAAAAACTGCCATAGCTACATGGGCGAACAAGTTCGCTCTTGCCGCGCCTGACCTCGNNACTTCTTCCGCACTGCTGGCGACTTCAGAACCTGGTTCGAGGAGAAGGATGGCGTACGTCGTTGGTTCGCCCGCTTGTACGACTGGAATTCGCAAACATGGACGGTTTTTGGAGCTTCCGACTGTCACAAGGATACAACAGCCAAGCGTAGGAAGAGAGCAGTGAGCACGCGGTTTTGAGATGTGCATCTCCGCTCCTGCGGAAGAAGACTATGCATCAGCGCCTGCGAGGAGATTGGTGGTGAAGACTCTCTTCTCACAAGATAACAAAGGGAGCATGGAAAAGCAGGAAGATATCGGAGCCAGAAGTTTACCAGGGGACCTCCGGCTGTATTATGAGGAGTTTCCACGAGAGACTTTGCTGAGCTATGGTGGCTCTTAGGTGTACTCATGATGGGTTTGACAACAAGAAAATGTAGAGACGACTGGAGGGTTAAATCTGATCAGGTCAAATCCCATGGATATAAACAGCTCTACGGTCGAAAGTGTGACCGTTGATAACTGCTTGTTCCCTTAAGACTCGTAAACAAAGGAGACCTCACCGGATCCGGTCGAGCTCAATGCGAATTGTTGCATGAAGCCCTCGACAGCCAGGAACCACTTTACAGGTTGTGGTCGAGTTTCTTCGAGACTAGTGCGGAAATGCACAAAGGCTCTACAGAGTACTGCGCCAACATCTTAAGACAGCCCAATTGATGGCTGCCTTTACATCTGGCGATAAAGAATCTCAACGAAAATAGGGTCTCCTTCCAAGGTCACTGTGACTTCCGTTTCTCAAGGAAGTATCTCGAGCATAATCCCGTGCAGTCATCAAGGTGTAAGAAAATGTAGAATTTGGAAGATGAGTAACAACTACAAGCATGGTCAAGAACTTTCTGTCTAGACACCGGACCGTTTCATCGTCCGATAATCTCTCATGATCTCTCCAACTAGATCTTCAGCCCTTTCGCAATCCAGGTATTCTAGATGTGGGAAGTGTTTGATCAACTGAGATGCAATACGAAGTATCTCAGTTCGACTGTCGATTCTGTTAGCAGGCGCGTCTGTACTGTCGGCATGCTGTACTTACTACTGCACAGGGTGTGCATCCCTATCTGCACGCGGCGCAACAATGTCTTCGACCTCCAAGTAGCGAATGCTGCCGTTCAGACGCATGAAGGGCATCCTCTTGAAGTTCACGGCACCACAGGGAGCCGGCATCTCAAGTGTCTGTAACCCTGGGTAGCTGGCGAGAACTCGCTCGATCAAAAGATGAGGTCTGTGTTGGAGGAAAGAAGTATTGTTTGCATCACCTTTCCAAGCCACTCTCAGGCACCTCAACGTATTATGCGATCCAAACAGTGTGTTGATGTCATTGACGGTAATTGCTAGACCATCAAATTCGTGGGCCCCGCCCTGTCCACGGATGTCCAACGTCGCAAGTCTCAAATTCTGTAGTCCTCTAAGGTAGTGTGTCGTCAACAGTACACCCGCTCTGGCTTCGAGAGCTAGACTACTCAGTTGCGGCAAGAGTCTAAGCCAATCCACAACGTCATCGCTCTGATCGATACACAGATTGAGAGTTGTGATAGTAGGCATACGAGGAAAAAGCTCTTTGGCTGCTGCGCCATCCATTCCAGTCTGCAGAACTGTGAGATGGTTGAATAGTGTCTGCCCTGGATTCAGAGTGGTGATGGTAGGCTGTATCATGTCGTGCGTCACGCGGAAGCCAGCACCGACGTAGTAAAATTCGTGAAGTCTCGATTGACTTGTAAGATACTGGAAGATCTGTCTGTCGAGTACTCGGGAAACAGGTCCTGACAGGTTGAGAGTTTCCAACTGCCGACAGGCTGTGAATGCAGCCAAGGACTGAGCACTAGTCGCCTGAGGGTCTACCTCTACCCACAACATGTTTAGGAGTGGGCAATTCACCAACAGAGGTATATAATTGGTGGAAATCTGGTTTGTGTCTGCCCCATACTCGCCGACTAAGATCTGCCTGAGCGCTGGCTGTATGAATTGGTTCAATGGGATAGCTCCAAAGGTGCCGTCGTGATGACTAACTTGTAGTCTGTGCAACCTTGGAAACTGCAGGTGGAAAAATCATAGCTCGTTGTCCTGGTTGTGTCCCAGTGCATGGTCCTGATGAAACTGGCGAATTGCCGCTGCTCCACGTTTGAATATGAGGCCGATTCTTGCACCATCCGGTCATTACAGTGTTCCCATACGTGCATGTTGGCAAACAATCTTGTTGCGTGACAGACTCTTGTCAGACTACGGATATCGCTTGCTGAATTGGCATGGTCGACGACTCTCTGTAGCAGTTCATTCGGTAATTTGTGAATGGGTGGATTATTGTTCATCTTGGCTATCTGGCTTTTACTTGTCGAGTTGAGTTTGTTGGCGTAGAGGCGATGGACGATACATGACCCTACCGCAAATATAAGGGTACATTGCTCAAAGACATAGGTAGACCATTCTCGTTGCCGGATTTGGCGGTTAGTATCGCAATTTCCTTTGTCGAGACACCTTTGTTAAGAATCCGGCCAGAAAATGTTACAGTGAAGCCAGCGTCATCCAACAAAGAACAACAGACGAACATTCCCGCATTTGGTCAAGAAGCTCGAGAAACGACATTTTCTCGCATTGCCAATGATCGTGGTCACCAAGCTCACTCATGAACAGATGACTACAATGAATCGTCGACATGATCTTCAAGGTATGACAATCACGCTTTTCAAGCAGAAACCAAAGAAACCCTTTCATAAATTCCGAAACTCTATAGCGAAATGTGTCCAACATTAGTTTGATTTGATTTGATTTTCTCAAGCTATTTACCCCGCAAGGGGTATGAGCTGTCGCTAATTACACCATATTCTGACTAATAGCAGTCGTCAGATTCAGTAGAAAGGAGGGTAATGGTCGCAGCAGACCGTGCAAAACATCAACGCCGATAACTCCTAAGTGCCTCTGTAATGAGTGTTGTACATTTCCTTCTCTCAGTATTGGGGGGCCGGTAGCCTCCTCCATAAGGGCTCTTCCCTATGTCGCGTACATCCTTATCGGCAAGACGCTGCTTAGAGGCAGTTGTATTGCTAAGGTGGTGATCATGTAATAGTTGGTCCCTAGGCACTTCCTGTCAATTTGTCTTTCTCACCTCTGATATTGTAGTCTTCCTGTTGCCTTTGCAAACTCAATAGTGGACTTCACTGCCTGCCAGTCTGGTCGCCACTTATCTTTCTCGCCATCCACAATCTTGCCATTCTCTTTGTGGTCTGAGTATCCTCCTAGGGCATATGATATGTTGCAGAATCTCCTGCCGTGTGCTGATTTCATGTCTTGTCTTTGCTGTCTCCATCGTGGGCAGAAGAATAGGAAGTGTTGGACTGTTTCCAACACTCCGCATTCGCACTTGTCCGTTTCTGCCACTTTGATCTTGTGCAGATAAGTATTCAGCCTGGATATGTTCGTTCTAAGCTGTGCTAGTATAGAAGCATCTGTCCTGTTGAGTGCGTCGTACAGCTTCCTTGTATGCTTTCCTGGCAGTGCTTTGTCGATTCTCTGTAAGTATTTTCCGGTTTTGGCTCCATAGAACTTTTCTTGCTTAGGCTTGAAACCTGCTGCTTTCCCTCTGTTATGAATCACTGATATGGGTACTGTTGCAGCGGGTGCTGGCATTGGTTGTGATTCTTCTGTTGCCATTTGAGCCAACTCGTTGGCTCTCTCGTTGCCTGCAATTCCTTCGTGTCCAGGGACCCAGTGGAGAGAGAACGTTCCTTTCCTGATCTTCTCTCTGATTTTCATGACCAGGTTGATACTGTCGTTGATCTTTGGACTCTGGATGCTTTGCAACGCTCCTTGGCTGTCTGAGAACACCCGTATCCGTACTTGGCTATTCATGTCGTCTGGGATGCCTTTGAT